GGTGCTTTCCCAGAGCCATTGTTAACTGGCTACAACTTCCCTGGATTCAGTGAAGTCTAAGAGACATGGTAATCCCCACTCCACCCCACAAGGAACTGGAGATGAACTCAGGATCCTGTGCATGCTGGCAAACACGTGTCTCATCCTTTTAGATGGTTTTACCTCCACACTCCTAACCTAAGCAGTCAAGTTAGAGAGCACAGACTCTCAGACATCTTTAACCAAGGCTGTTTTAAGATACAGAGAGACAGATGCCCCAAGACCACTCTTCCCTAAGTTTCCCAACAGATTCAATTAGATTCTAAAGTTCTTTTCTATAAAAATGAAAAAAAAAACCAACTCAATTTTTAAAGGGGCAATAGAGAGATGGCTGAAGGTTAAGAACATTTTCTACTCTTGAAGAGGGCTCAAGTTTGATTCCTAGTACCCATGTCTGGTGACACAAAACTACCTATAACTCCAGCTCCAGGGACATCCACACCTCTGGCCTCCAAGGGCACTGGTACTCTCATGCATATACCCACACATCCACATAATTAAAAATACAATAGTCTTTAAAAATTAAATGGGCAAGGAATCTGAACAGGCATTTCTCCAAGGAGACATGGAAATATCTGCCAAGAACATCAAAGCATGCTCTCAGCTCTCAGGCAAATGCAAATTAAAATCACAATCTGCTGCTACCTCACACCCACTAGAATAGCTATAATTAAAGACAGATAATAACTATTGTTTGTGAAGACATGAAGAAACCGGAACTCATGCACAATGTGAGGGAATGTCGAATACCTAGAGTATCTCAAATGGTTAAATACCAAATAACATATAGTTTAGCAATTATACTCTTAGGTATATATCCAATATAAAAACACTTGGCTACAGAAAGACTTACACGCAGTTTGTGTATAACAGCCAAAGAAGAAAACAAATGACATTCCACTCACGGGTGGACAGGCAGACAGAATGCAGTATGTGCACACATAGACCATTACCTTACAGTAAGAAGGAACTGCTAACTGGTGCTCCACTGTGGGGAGACCTTGAAAACATGCTGAGTGTAAGAAAGAAGACAACACCTATAGGGACAGGAGGCAGAGACGAGGTCACCAGGCTGGAGGGAGAGGATAGTGACGGGTGAGGAGTGGCATTCCACACATCTGAATGTACTAAACTTGATGGAACTGTAAATTCAAACGAATGGATTGTACATATGCAGCTTCAGTAAGACTTTTGAAAAGGCAGAAACATAGGGCCAAAAAGGCTCAGTGGCTAAGAGCACATATGGCTCTTGCAGAGGGCCCAGGTTCAGTTTCTAGCACCCACGCCAGGCAGCTCACAACTGCCTCTACCTAACTCTAGCTCCGAGGGATCTGACTCTCCTTTCTGACATACATGGGCACACACACACACATATGTACATAATTAAAATAAGGAAGCTGGAGGGATGGCTCAGTGGTTAAGAACACTCATTGCTCTTGAAGAGAACATGTGTTCGAGTCCCAGCATCCATGTAGTAGGTCACAACCATCTGCAACTCCAGTTCCTGGAGACCCAATGGCCTCTTCTGAGCTCCTAGGACACCAAGCACACACATATTACACATGCATATATGCAGACAAACACTCACACATAAAATAAAATGAATAAGTATAATAAAAATTTAAAAATTAAAAGGAAAATCTTTCTTAAAGAAGACAGCAAAAATCTAAGCAGTAAGTATGCTGCTGTACATTTTCCTGGGTTTCCATTTTTGTTAAGATTTTAGTGGAGATTTCTTTTAAAAATATTTTTACTTTTAAATGTATGGGTGTTCTGCCTACATGAGTGTCTATGTTCCATATGTGTGCCTACTGCCTTCAGAGACCAGAAGAGGGTGCTGGATCCCCCCTCAACGGGAGTTGTAGACAGTTGTGAAGCACCATGGGGTGCTGAGAACCTGGGTCCTCTGCAAGAGCAGCAAATGCTCCTAACCACTGAGCCAATACGCAGTCACCTCAGTCCCTATTTGACACTAAGTTCCCCAGGGCAGAAGTCCCTTGTCTATCTTAAAATCCCTTCCTCCACCTATGCTCCTAAAATGATCACAAACCAGGTCTAGTGAAGAACACACAGCTGGTGCTTAAATGCAGAGAGATACCTCCTAACAGTTTCTGTAAGATGGCTTTGAGGTAGGGGTGGAGCAGAAAGTTCGTTTCAACCAGAGATACTATCCAAAATTATATCTCTCCACCTGGGTATCAAGAACTTGTGAAGAAACTTAAGTCTCTGCCTGCGTGCTTCTAAAGCACTTTTCCTGCCCACCATTGCTTCTCATGCAGTGGAGACCGCTGAGGGATGCCAGGCCCCTCTCTGGATGTGGAAGACACTTTCAGTGATGCATAGGATCTATGGACCAGTGGCACAGCATTTTACCAGCAGGTGTCACTCTCGAGCTTTTGATTCTCAAGTGCCAAATCACAAGGAAATAAACAAAAACAAGAAACACTAGCTGCCAAGAGGGGAGCAAGGCTTGGGCTACAGGGAAAGTGTCTTACAGAGAGAAGAGGGAACAGAAACTCCCTGAAACCGTCCTCTCAAGTCACGTGACCCAGATTATCAGTTTATGGCTCTGACTTCCTTTTCCAAAACACCTAACTCCACGTTTATGGTCTAACCAAGAAAGCCTTCAGACAAATATCCACTGAAGCATCTACTCACTAGCAAACCCCAAAACTGTCAGGGTCATCAAAAACCAGAAAAGCCTGATAAACTGTGGCAAGCAAAAACAGCCAAAGGAGCACGACTGTGAGATGTAACATGAGGTCCTGGGTGGTGACCTGGAATTGAGACATTAGGCAAAACTATCCAAACTCTGAATAAAGTACTTTGAGTACATAATGTTTATTAAACAATAATGGTTCATTAAATGAGACAAGCATCTCACATTTGTGTAAAATATTGCAACTGGGTGCCGAGTACGTGACAACCTGCTTTCCAGTTTTCACAATAACCCTAAAGCTGTTCTGAAATAAAAAGCATATGTTTTGTTTTGTTTTGTTTTGTTTTTTCAGAAGAAAGTATCACTAGCTGCCCATTTGGCCACATAGGATTCTATTTTAAGGACTTGTTCCACTGCTTTAAAGTGGTTGCATCTTTTTCAGGCATGTTCTTAAGTGACTGGATGGCAGGAAAGAAAAGCCACAGGCTTGAGAGAGCAGACAGGACTTGTGGTAGCAAAAGAGAAGTGGGGGGGGGGGGATATCCCTGAAGACACACAGATCACTTCAAAACCCTAAAAAAGTTCAGTGTTCACAGCACGTACAGCCTCATCCATCCGTGGTGGGCAAAGGAGGCTGGAAAGTACAGCAGCAACAGGAAAGCTGGGCAGCCCTGGCCATGACTCACACAAGGTCTTGCTGAACCATAAACTGACCTCTGGAGATTCTTATGCTCCAAACTCTCCTAAAGCCCCCAAAGAAAATGGGGTACCAGATAGTGATTATCTCAAATGAAAGGCATTGGAAAACTACTTAATATGTATGTTAGTTATTCAGTCTGAATTTTTAATTATCAGCTGTTAAAAAATAAAAAGCAGGAAGGTTAAGTGTTGGGTCCATATTATGCTGCATCAATACACAGGGGTAAGTGGTTTTCTTGTTTGTGCTTTAAATGAAAAGCTGTGGTTGTGAAGAAACAGTGTGCTGGATTCCTGCCCCTGTCAGCCACAATCTGAAGCATAAGCTTCGCCTTGTTGGCAGGCAGACAAACCTCAAGAAAAAGCAGTTTTGGGGAGACTCACTCGAAGCTTCAATCTTTTTGTTTTTGTTGTTGTTGTTCATTTTTCCAGACACTGTCTCATACCGTAGCTGAGACCAGATGGAACTCATTATGTAATCCAAGATGGCCTTCAACTCACAGTAATCCACCTGCCTCTACCTCCTAAGTATTAGGATTATAGGTGTGAACCAGAACACCTAGCTACCAAACTTCAATCTTTTAAAGAGTTAGGGTGCTCCCCTTTTAATTAAAAAAAAAATTGTCATAATGCAAATCTGAGCCAGGCACAGTAGCTTTACACAGGGCTGAGGCAGGAGGATTGCCACAGGCTTGAGACTAACCTGGGCTAGATAGTGAGTTCTGGGCCAGCTAAGGCAATAAGGTGAGATCTTGTATCAGAAAAAAAAAAAAAAAAAAAAATGAAACATGCCTGGTGGTGTATGCCTGTAGTCCCAAATACTCAATAGGATGGTGCAGGCTACAAGTTCAAGGTCAGCCAGGGTAACTTAGTAAAACCCTGTCTCAGAACAATAACAAAAAGAGGGCTGGAGTCCAGCTCAGTATAGAGCAGATGCCCAGCAAGTGTGAGTCACTGCGCTTAATCCTCAGTACAGAATAAGAAAGAGACAGGCAGAGTTGGAGGAGACAGAGATAGAGACCAGGGAAATGGCTCAGTAAGTAAATGCTATCTGCAGAAGCTCACAGGCCAAGTTCAGTAACTGGAAGCATGTGAAAAACGGCATGAGTGGCACACATCTGCAATCCCAGCTTTCCTTCAGTTGAGATGGGAGACGGACACAAGGGACTTGCCCAGAAGCCTATAGACCACCTACTGGAAGTACATGGAGAAACAGAAACAAGAGCAACCGCACATCAACAAGGCAAAAAGCAAGAGCCAACTCCTGAAGTTGTGCTCTGACTTCCAATACACATAGACACACACACACACACACACACACACACACACACACACACACACACACACACTAATTAGTATTGTTTAACAAAAAAGGAGGATGGGAGAAAAGAGTAAAAACCTATCCACCTCAGCTAAAAAGCTAGAATAGAAATGGGAGACTTGAGGCTGTGAGACACATCACCTCTATCTCACACACACTCTCAGTGGGCGGATTCAGTATAATATCAGACTAAACCCAATACTGCAGAGGCAAAGAACTAAGCAACACCCATGTGAACATAATTCAGGAAAAGCGAGAAACTAGCGGCAGTGACTTACTACCTACGGGAATGAGATGAGTGGGCTGCGATTCTTCCAGTTTGTTCCTCAACCAGTCAAAATCCTGGTATCTCCTTCGAACAGAATATTCTGGCAGGTCAAATTCCACCCGAGTACTCTGCAAATAAGAAGAGAGGAGGGGACATGTGCACAGTGAGTAGGAGTTCATTCTGGCTGGGGAAAAACACACTTTTAGAATAACCAAATAAGGCAAGGACACACTTCCTTCCACCCCTTCACCAGACAAAAGGCAGAATTTACCAGCAGGCTACAAAAGTCAAGGAGTTAGAATAGAGCCCAGCCCAGCACACCTTTAACTCCAGTACTCCGGAGACAGAGGTGGGCAGATTTCTGAGATCAAGGCCAACCTGGTCTACAGAGTAATTTCCAGGAAAGCTAAGGCTATACAGAGAAACCCTGTCTCCAAAAATCAATAAATGAATGGACGGACGGACGGACACACAACAAGGGCACTGTTGAGATATCAGGCAGATCTTTGGTTTTGTTTTTTTGTTTTGTTTTTTTTGTTTTTTGTTTTTTGTTTTTTCCCCTGCCCTCAGGAAATAGAACTCAGCAATTCCTCAGAATTTTCTAGTACATGTGATTCTTTTTCTCCAACTTAACTCTGAGAGGGCAGTTTTTTTTTTCTCCCCAGAATAATACAATTTCAGATATTGCTTCTGAATTGAACCCAAACCCATGAAAAGGAATGATGTCTCAACCTTGTGTTACATATGCTGACAAGCTTTGATGAAGGCAGAGGGAAACAACCAAGTAGAGATGACAGGAGACTGTTCCTGTGGGAGGCAGAGTCTAAGACTTTTGCCAGGTATGGAGGTGCACACCTTCATCTCCAGCACTCAAGGCAAAGGCAAGAGAACTCTGTGAGTTCAAGGACGGACATTCTGGCCAACATAGTGAGTTCCAGGCCAAAGAAGGCAATACAGTGAGATAAAAATAAAACAAAACAAAAAATGAGATATTTTTGCTTCATCCATCATATTCTGCCAGAACAATGACCTTGAAAGCATACTGCATTTTAAATCTAGATAAGGAAACATCTAGAAAAAAAAGCCATTATGTTGCAGAAAATGTTAATGATCTATGAATTTTTAAAGTTTTCTGAAATGTAATTACATCACTTTAATAATAAATCAACATTAAAATTAAGTTATACCATAATACTATTTTTACTTATTAACTCTTATTTCTTCTTGGTCACACCATTGCTCCCTCAAATATGAGATAAAGTACAAGATAAAAATGACCTAAGACAATAAATAAATAAATAAATAAATAAATAAATAAATAAAAAGCCGAGCAGTGGTGGCACGTGCCTTTAATCCCAGCACTCGGGAGGCAGAGGCAGGCAGATCTCTGTGAGTTCGAGACCAGCCTGGTCTACAGGAGCTAGTGCCAGGACAGCCTCCAAAGCCACAGAGAAACCCTGTCTTGAAAAACAAAAAACAAAAACAAAAACAAAAAAAAAGATCTAAGCCACATATTACAAATTTATTCTGTTTTTATCTAAGACTTCCAGAAAAGTCTTTAAAATACCTAAGGAAGAGTCGTCCACCAAACAAGGCTTTGAAAGTTTTTGGCTCTGAGATTATGATGTCATTCTCTCCCCCCCCCCCCCTTGGCCTGAGCAGAAATGGAAAGGGAGTGATGATCCTAAAGGACTGCACCAGCTCCCCATCCAGTCCCTGGCCTGGTGAGTGTCCAGGAAACACAACCTTCACCATGTCAAAGCAGGCAGAGCGGGAAGACTTGGGAGGACACACAACAAGGGCACTGTTGAGATATCAGGCAGATTCCCAGAGGAAGTAGGACTGTGGATCAACTCAGGCTCAGCATGGCAGGATCACCACTGACACTGTGCTGTGCTCTGTGGAGCTTCCTGAGTCTTAGTTTCCTCAACACTAAGAGAGAGACACTTTCAAGACCCCTCCAACACCCAGACTCCAGCAGAAAATCTGTCAGCAGTGATGAGGGAAGGTAACCTGTTTCCATCATGAATAGGCAACCATGGATCTCCTGCCACCTTCCTAAATGTGCCATGATCAAACCTACCACGTTTCTTATTATGTTCATCAAATTAATTCCACAAACCACCATTCATGTAACATCCCTACTCCCTGAAATCAATACTTGGGTAACTACAAAAGGCACAAGTAGCAGCTGTGTTTTGCTTCAAACTTTTCTATATCTGGGGATCTGGCTCCCAGATTACATTTGCTTATTTTAAAACTTCAATAAAAATAATGAATGAAAAATACAAAAATGGATATAGTCCTTTTAAACAGATAACATTTAAATTTACAAACTTACACTTTTTTGCATATTCATTCGGTTTCTGCATCATTTTAATACATCCTGGACACCTTCGTGTCCAGATCTTTAAAATCACTTAACACATATACAATATTCAACTGAGTGACTACAACATAATACCCCCTATTTAAATTGTTTCTGATTTTTTTAATCAATAAACAATGTTACAGTAAACAACACTGGGCTTCTATGCATTAATCCCACTAATTTAGCAACTGTTGGCTTCCACAAACTCAAAAACTAAGACTGTCCCTCTGGTAACACCTAGCATTTATCAATATCCGGAAAAGAGTAACACACAGTCTACAACAGGGTCCCCAACACTGCCAAGCATCCTCAACCTTCCCTGCATCACCAGTTATTAAAAGCTGTAAACACTTTGAAAACTTAACCTCCCTTCGTTCCTGCCAGCTGATCTTGTCACTCTGCCCTGGAGAAAACTGCAGATATAAGCAAAGATCCCTTAACTTCCTGCCACGAGACAAGTTCCCCTTCCTTTTCCCAGAACAACGGGCAGAGTGTGCTTCTACCAGAGGCCAAGCCATATACTTGTCCTCAGCACACATCCCCTTACATACCCAGCAACTCCTGTCCTACTCTCCAATCTTCACCCTACATCTGCTTTTCCCTATGCCGGCCCTGTCTGTTCATCTGGCTCTCCTTCATCCTCAAAACTAAAAACAAGCAAGCTAGACACAGTGACACATATCTGTAATTCCAGCACTTGGGAGGCCAAGGCAAGATGATGAAGAATGAGTTCTATACAAGCCTGGACTACACAGCAAGTTTGAAGTCAGCAAGGCTCTGTCTAACATACTCATACATACGAACATACGAACGCACGAACACACGCACGCACACCCACAGCTTCTCTCTCATTCAAGTGCTCTCTTGTAGTTACTGCTCTTACTGGATGCTGTGTTCTTGCCAACTGAACTGTCAAGCTATGAACACGCACATCTTTTCCCCTTATCTCCCACTCACACTAACCAACTTCAAACCACACCAGTGAAACTGATCAAACAAACCACAGTCACCCAAAGCCTTGTCACTAAGTCAAATGCCCACATGTGATCTTGAACTCCTTATCCAAACCTCTTAGCAGTGTTTATACTCTAGATTACTGGGGTATCTGGTGAGAAACTGGCTAAAGCAAAGGAGCTAGTAATAACAACCAGACATAACCCTGGGCGTGCCTGCAGGGTGACTCCAAATCCACTGGAACTGACAATGAAGACTAGCCATCACAGGAGACGTACTCTGGACTCAAGCTTCAGCCCCATCGGACATCAGCTGCATGTCACTGAGCAATTAAATTCATGTCACTATATCTAAGCTCCATTTAGAAACCAAGAATAGTTGCAATGTTGACTTCACTGTGTGAAGATTAGCAAGACACTTAAAGCACTCTGCACAAAATAAACAATGGGACAGCGGATGAGAGAACAGGACTGCACTCTCAGATGACGGCAAAGTGTGCTGCCTGGGACTTGCTAGCACAAAGTGATACACACATGCAGTCAATGAGCTGGCTACATACAAATGTTCATTTTCATGAAAGAATAGAGGCAATAGCACACTAGGTCACCAATGGTTAATTCTGACTGTGAGTTTATATAGGTATGTCTTCATTTTATTATTTTAGCTTACTTTCATTTTCTAAGTACATAAAATAGAAATTGAAATTTCCATCACAAAACGGATAGACGTGTGGTTAAGTGTCCAATTTGGCTGTTACTGCGCTGACTTTCTAAGAGCCTGCAGAAGAGAGCCAGGAGCTGCTGGACTACAGGGGCTGAAAAGCCCCTGAGAAGGGGCTGTGCTGTGCGGGCCTAGCCATCGAAGAGGAAGGCATGGACGGTGGAGACGGGATGAGCACTCCTTTTCAGAATGTCTTCAGCTAACTTCAGCTCAGTACTGTATCATCAAAAATCTGAATTAGGGGGCTGAGAAGATGGCTCAGTGGTTAAGAGCACTGACTGCTCTTCCAGACCTGGGTTCAATTTCCAGCACACACGACAGCTCCCAACTGTAACTCCAAGAACCAATACTCTCACACAGACAAACATACAAAGCACCAATACACATAAAACTAAATAAACTTTAAAAAGAAAGAAAGAAAAGAATAAATATGTATTAGAGGGGCCAGAGAGGTAGCTCAGTGATAAAGAGCACTGGCTGCTCTTCTGGAAGATGCAGGTTCGAGCCCCAGCGCCCACATGGCAGCGCCAGTTCCAGGGGATGCAAGGCCCTCTCTGGCCTCCAAAGGGCACCAGGCACACACATTGTATGTAGATATATGTGCAGCCAAACATTCATATGCATAAAATAATTTTTTTAATTAAAAAAGAAACAATCTGAATTAGAGATAGGCATAGAAACACAGACTTTCAATGCCAGAACTTAGGGAGTGGAAGTGAGATCTCTGTGAGTCCAGGCCAGCCAGGACTACATAGTGATCCCTGTCGCAATCATCACCATCATCATCATCACATTCATCATTTACAGGATTAAGGGGATTAAAATTGTAGCACTTATGCTATGACCACTAACTCTGCTTGAGGACCTCAGAAGAATGCAAGTCCCAGGTATAGGAACTTGTGGCCCATTTGTACTCTCTCTCATTCCAAGATATCACTATCTATCATGTGAACAGCTTTAAAAAAAAAAAAAAAAAAAGCACTCCAAACACACCAAGATATTGAACCTGGTCTACTTTTAGAAACAGAAGAGCAGGCAACTCTGGGGTTCAGAAGTGCAAGGACAGAGATAATAAAGAGTAAGAATGTAGCAGCAATTGTCACACCCAAGTAAAACCCAGGACTAGAACCTGAAAACCGCAGTTTCTCGGTTACAGGGAATCAAATAATCCCAGGAGAAAGGACAGAAATAAGAACACAGAGTGGGAAAGGTAGGCAAGGAAGGAGAGAGAAGAGACCTCCTAAAGATGGTGAGTTACAGCATAAGCCAGTGAACCAGTTAAACCCTGCAGGGTTTGCTTTAACATTATGTGTGTGGAGTTTTGGGGGTGTGTGCTTCAGGGTACAGGAATCAAGTGGTGTTAGAAAACTGTCAGGTTGGGTCAGCACTGCTGTGCCAAGCAAGGCAGTCACCCGGTCACCAGGCTGCTTACAGCACCGAGTCAAGAAAAACAGGTTTTGCATTTTACTGACTACAGGGTGAAAAGTAAACTCACCCCCAAGAAAAAGTAAACAAATGGAAAGAATCCCTGGAACTATGAACATCACCTAAGACCCCTGAGGAAATCATACACGTGTGAGCACCCACTCAGGGCGATAACAGGGCAGATACACACGGACAGGCAAGCCTTCAAGTGTGAGCCAGGTGCAGAAAGATGGGGTGCAGTGACTTTAAAAAACTGAAAATGGTTTAATGTCCATACACATGAAGGGGAGTGATTTATATAATCCATGCATAATTAGGCAGACACAGAGAGTAAGCTACACGGAGTTATGTGGGCATGGGAAGGGCTTCAAAAACACTATCAAGCAGAAGGAGGTGAGAGAGCAGCACACACGGAAACCAAAACAATGTGCATTGTGTGTGCCAGAGATGAAGAGGAGAGGCAGGCACATGCCACGCTGCAGCAGCTGCTCCTTCTGGTGAGAAGACTGTCGAGCTGACGAGGGGAAGAGAGGGGGGATTCGCACTCTGTATTTGCTCTTTGGAACTGTTTCTGCCCCATGACCATGTAGTTTACTAGTCATGTAATATAGTATTTACTAGTCATTAAAATATAGTATTTCCACCCAATAAGACATGAAGAAATACATAAACATATTTTATTCTGTTTATCTTAGAATTTAAACAGGTATAGAACTTACAAAACTTTTACAATTAAAAAAAAATGTTTATTGGATATAGAGGCACACATTTGTCATCCCAGAGGTAGAGAGGCTGTGGTAGAAGGATCAAGAGTTCAAGGCCAGCCTGGGCTACACAGTAAGACCTTGCTCCCTGCCCCCAAATAAATAATTAATAAAATTTTTTGAAGAAAAAAAAGAGGCCAGGAACACAGCCTGGCATGTGTGAGGCCCTATGTTCAGTTCCCAACACAAAGGGGGTGGGGCGTTGAATAGTAAGAAAAGAGAGATGTGGTTTATCTGAGCTACTAACACCACCCATAAAGGTTCATCCACAAAGGTTCATTAAACATCTGTAATCCCTTCTGCAGTGTGTGGTTTGAAGTGCAGGAAAAACAGACAGACAAAATGGTTTCCTGCCTAAAGCACTTACTTTGTACATACATACATACATACATACATACATACATACATACATACATCATACATACATATACATACATACATACAATACATACATCATACATACATACATACATACATACATACATACATACATTCACCACTACCCCTTTGTCCCTCTCTAACCTACCAAGGCCTCCTTCCCCACACCGATTTCTCCCTCACCAAGTCCCCATCCCACTTTCATATCTTTCTGTTTTAAGCATTTTTTAAAATTCTAAAATACAAACACATGGGTTTTCTCCTTAGTAAGAATATGATTTTAGATCAGTAACTTCCTATTAAGGAGCAATGTTGCTCCGCAGCAGGTATTTGGCAATGTCTGAAGGTATTTCTCCTTGTCACAAGTTAGAGTTGGAGATAAGTAGAAGGTGCTACCAGCATCTTGTGGACAGATCCCAGGAACATTCTACAATAGGACAGCCCCCACAAGAAAGAATTGTTCATCCCCAAATGTCAATACTGCCAGCCAAGAAACTCTGCTCTAACTCTAAAATTTTAATACTATTTTAAATATGAAAATGAACTTCAAAAGTAAAATGACAATACAGGTCTGGGGATGTAGTTCAGTGGTAGAACATTCACCTAGCTGGTACAAGGCCTTATGTTCCATTCCCACCATTCCCCCAAAGTGTAAATGTAGTATTTTACAAGTAGAATTAAATGAAGAATATGAACTTTTAGTCTTACAAATCCATATTAGAAACCTAGTTAACAGCCAGACAGTGGTGAAGCACACCTTTAATACCAGCACTCAGGAGGCAGAAACAAGTGGATCTCTGTGAGTTTGAGGCCAGCCTGGTCTACAGAGTGAATTCCAGGACAGGCTCCAAAGCTATAAAGAAACCCTGTCTTGAAAAACCAAAACCAAAATCCAACCCTCCCCCCCAAAAAAGAGGGAGACAGAGAGAGAAACCTAATTATCCATTTTGTTGCCCCACACAAGTTATTCAGTTTCCTCACCTATGAATTTCTAACTAAACATAAACCTTTTAGGATTGGTAGATGGCAGGGCAGAGAGTCACCAGGCATCAGTTTCAGGCCTCTTATTTCTGTCTTTATCTACATTTAGGCCAAATCCTGGTCAGAGACTTAGGCTGGTACACAGTCGTGCATATTGTGAAATGAACACATTAAGCAAAACCACCATATGACACAGAAGTATTACAGAGATTAAATGTTTTATTCAAACGACTTCAACCACAATTTCTCCTCGTTTTAAGGGTAAAAACCTATTATATCATTCTTTTCACCTTTAATGTGCCACTTTCTCTCTTAACTGCAATAAAGTGACCAGAGGAGAGACAGCAAAGGCAGAGGGAGGATCTCAACAGGCCCAGAGCACTGTTCTAGGTGCCTCCTATGGCTGTAATAAAACACCATGACCAAAAGCAACTTGGGAATGAGAGGGTCTATTTGGCTTACACATCCCAATCACAGTTCACCACTGAGGGGAGTCAAGACAGGAACCTGGAGGCAGGGACTGATGCAGGGAGCATGGAGGAAGGCTGCTTACTAGCTTATTCTCCAGCTCATGGTTAGCTAGCTACCTTCCTTCTACCTCACAGGACCACCTGCCCAGGGTTGGCACCACTTACACTGGGCTGAGCTTTCTTACATCAATCATTAATTAAGAAAACACTCCTCAGACTTTCCTACGGGCCAGTCTTATGGAAGTATCTCATTAATTGAGATCCCATCTCCAGATGACCACAGTCTGTATCTATTGCCCAAAGACAAAAGCAAAAAACACAAGCACAAGTGTGAATCCCAACATTCTGAAACAAAGGGACCTACTTTGGTGGTGATCCTGTATGTGATGTAGGTCTCCATCGTACAGACATGCTTCTTGGGATCATCAACCGTGACAAAGAGATCTCTGGTTTCACCATCAATGTCATCATCAAGCTGGAGTCTGTTCAGAAGGGAAGATGGAGAGGCTGGGCTCGAAGTGCCTGCTGGAGTACCGCCATTGGGCAAAATGAGATCCTGGAAGAAGAAAAGAACAGCCTTCCAGATCGTGTGAATGGAGAGCCTTACCACCCACAGCTGCTGCGGCCACACTGAAAAACACCTCAGAAACAATTTCCAAAGCGCTGTACCTCTCTTTACTCCTGTATCTTAAATGAACACGTCAGAGGAAGAACTCAAGCAGGACCTGATAGAGAAATGCTGCTTCCTGGCTTGCTCAGCCTGCTTTCTGATACACCCCAGAATGACCTGCCCAAAGTACCTTCCACAGTGGGCTCAATCCTCCCACATCAATCATTAATCAATACAATGCCCCATAGACTTCTATAGGCCAATGTGATGGAGGTGTCTTCTAGATTGAGGTTCATTTTCCCAGATGGCTCTAGCTTATGTCAAACTGACAAAAAGCTTACCAGATCTTAGCCCATCATACCATCTGTCCTCTGTTGTATTTGATTTAAAGTTCCACAGTGGAAAAAAAATGATTAAAGAGATTAGCTGAGGGAGGGAGACAGGGAAGGGAGGGGAGGGGAGGGGAGGGGAGGGGAGGGGAAGACAGAATGACTGCAAAACAATAGCTCTCACTCTCTACTTTGGGATGAAGGCCTAAGCCTACCTGGATAAATTACATGTTAAGAATTTGTTACAAATATATTTTTAATCTATATTTTATTTTTGTTTTTTTTTTTTTGAGACAGGGTCTCTCTGTATAGCCTTGACTGTCCTGGAACTCATTCTGTGGACCAGGCTTGGCCTTGAACTCAAGAGATTCACCTGCCCAGTCTTTTGTTGTTGTTGTTTATTTTATTTTGTTCTATTTATGTTTGCAAATATAGCATTTTTTAAAAGGCTGTAGTGGTTTGAAAGAAAATGGTTCCTACAGTCTCCATAAGGAGTGGCACTATTAGGAGCTATGGTCTTCTTGGAGTAGGTGTGACCTTGTTAGAGGAATTGTGTCACGGGGTGGACTTTCAGGTTTCAAATGCTCCAGCCAGGCCCAGTGTCTGTCTCTTCCTGCTGCCTACTGATCCAGATGTAGAACTCTAAGCTGCTTCTCCAGCAACATGTCTATCTGTGTGCCATCATGGTTCCCACCATGACAATAATGAACTAAACCTCTGAAACTGTAAGCCAGCCCCAGTTAAATGTTTTCCTTTATAAGAGTTGCCGTGGCCATAGCTCTCTACACAGCAATAGAAAACTTAACTAAGACAAAGGCCGTGGATATTTAAGGCCCAGTTTCACAGTTCCTCTGTTGTGTTAGGACCCTGTCTAGCAGAAGATAGGAAGACCTCTGAGTATTTCCTCAGAAATCACTGGATACAAAGACTAAGAATGTGGCAAAAAAAAAAAAAAAAAAAAAAGCGACAAGTAGAAAGGCATTGGTGACCCCAGATCATAGGGTAGGATCAAGGAAGTGCTCTCGGAGCTCTGATCTGTTTCCTAGGAGTCACCTCAGCAGTCACATCCATGAGCTACAGCTGACCAGAGGAGACCCCAAAGAAGAAAGATAAGAAAAAGCAGAGGAAAGAATGGCCTGGGGTCAAGAGAAATGCCATCTGGCTCAGTGGGTGACAGACATACACAGAAGGTTCTCCCCCGTGCCTCCCATCTGCACAAACTACATACAGATCATTTAATCATATTCTTTTTTTTAATTTTTTAAAGATTTTATTTATTTATTATGTATACAACATTCTGCTTCCATTTTTTATCTGCACATTCGAAGAGGGCACCAGATCTCATAATGGATGGTTGTGAGCCACCATGTGGTTGCTGGGAATTGAACTCAGGACCTCTGGAAGAGCAGTCAGTGCTCTTAACCTCTGAGCCATCTCTCCAGCCCTTAATCATATTCTTAAGGCAGTGTCAAAAATAAAAGATTTGCCAGGTGCAGTGGTACATGCCTTTAATTGACACTGGGAAGGAAGGCTGAAGCAGGTGAATCCTCTGTGAGTTCAAGGCTAGCTTGGTTCATACAGTGAGTTCCAGGACAGCTGGGGCTATGTAATAAAGAGACCCTGTCTCAAAAACACAGAACAAAAAAAATTTAGTTTTTGTAACTATTAAAAGGGTGCCATCTTTTGTAGTAGGCTTTCTCTTCGGACCACCAACCAGGTCCCAAATAAAGACATGGAGACTTCTTATTAGTTATGAATGCTCAGCCTTATCTTATGCTTGTCCCATTATCTCTTGCAACTTAATTTAACTTGTTTTTCTTCATCTAAGTTTTACCTCAGAGCTTTTCTTTCATTCTGTATGTCCTACTTTCCTGCTCCCTCCATGTCTGGCTGGCTGGCAGCTGCCTGGCTGGCTGGTCCCAGATGTCACCCTCTTTCTCCTTTGTTCTCTTCTCTCCAGCCAGGATTCTTCCTACTACTTATTCTCTCTGCCTGCCAGCCGCGCCTTTCCCTCTACTACCTAGCTATTGGCCATTTGGCTTTTTACTAGACGAATCGGGTGCCTTAGGCAGGCAAGGTGAAACAAATGCAACACATCTTTACGTAGTTAAACTAATAGTCCACAGCAATCTTTATAACTATGATTCCAATGCGAGCAGCATGAAAAGCAGCCAGCTGGGTGTGGTGTGGATATGAAGGCAGAGCCTTGCTACTGCAGCTGCTGCTGACCTTCTCAGAACACCTAAACTACAGGGCAAGCTTGGAGGGTCACACTCAGGGTCTGGAGGTCTGGGAGAAGACATTGTCTCTGGGACTCTGGGATAGCCATGACTGCCCCTTCTATAAAATTTTAAGCATGGACGACAGGCAAGTCACCTTGTTAGACTCCCCAAGTGCCCACCTTTACATGTATCAACACTAGAGCACTGGCCTCAGAACAGCTCAGTCAGTGGCTAATCACTGCACAAAAGAAATAAAGAAATCAAACCCTTGGCCAAACAAGCCAATCAGCTCAAATACTGGTCTTTTGTGATCTAGCCAGGCTAAGTCTGGAAGACCCCATGTTGTCATATACTTTGTTTGAAATCCACCCATAAAGGAGTGTCAATGTCAATGTCACCAAATATGCCCCTTCCTCTCTCTCTCTCTCTCTCTCTCTCTCTCTCTCTCTCTCTCTCTCTCTCTCTCTCTCTCTCTCTCTCTCTCTCTCTCTCTCTCCTTCCCTGCCCCACTCTTCTCCACACTTGGAAGGAACCTGCACTGAAGCAACTGTCAATATTAGTCATTGATCTAGAGGCTGAATAGATAGATGGCTCAGGAGTTAAGAGCACTTCCTGCTCTTGCAGAGGACCAAGGTTTAGTTCCCACCTGGTAGCTCACAACTGTCTGCAATTCCAGTTCCAAAGGACCCAAAGTTCTTTCATCCCATCGGCAGGCACCATGCACAAGTGCACACATGTGGTGCATACACATACATGCAGGCAAACAAACATTCTTACATACAAAATAAAAATAAGTATTTTAAATCATTGATTTATACAACTGACTTATCCACAAACAATGCTTCCCCTGTGTGTGCATGTGCTAGTGTAATTATCTATCTGGCTTCTCTTGCCTGATCTACAGAGACTCTATACCAACTCTCCTAGGTTTGTCCCTAGGGACCTCAGCCAGTAACCTTGAGGAATAGAATCTGAAATGCCCTGACCAGTATAGTAAGAGTCAGGCAATCAAATCCTCAAATCCAGTCACAACCAAATCTTATGGTAGCAGCACCATCTATGACTAACATGAGCTGCAGACACTAGAGCAGGTACTCTTAGGCTAAGTTATCATCAATCAGTTCTCCATAGCACAGCTACAGTGCTTCTAAAATAAATCTAAATCCAAGGCTAGAGAAATGACTCAGAAATTCAGAATATTTGATGTTAGCAGAGAACACCCACATAGGGTGGCTCACAACTGCCTGGGACTCCAGCACTAAGGGACCTGACACCCTATTCTGGTGTCCTCAAGTACCTGCACTCATGTGCACAAACTCACACTAAGACACACACATATGTCTATAAATTAAAAATAAATTAATAAATATAGCAAGTTCCAAGACAGCCAGGACTATACAGTGAGATCCTGACTAAAAACAATAAATAAAATTACTTTAGAAATATAAATCAAACATGCTGCTTCCTTGCCTAAAATTCTCAAAACTGGAAGTTGGAGAGATGGCTCAGTGGTTAAGAGCACCAGCTGCTCTTCTAGAGGTCCTGAGTTCAATTCCTAGAAAGCACATAGTGGCTCATGACCATCTCTAATGGGATCTGATGCCCTCTTCTGCCACGAAAGCATACATGCAGACATATACATAAATAAATAAATATTTAAAAACAAATCTCAAAGCCATCCCATTACACAAAGTCTAAACTCACTCCCAGAGAGTGGACACTGCTAGCCCTCACCCCTCCTCTCCCCCTCCCCCAGTTCCTCCTGCTCTGGATCCCTGGCCTTCTGGCTGTTCCTGGCCTCGGGCCCTTGGCACGTATGCTCTCTCTCCCAGATCCCAATGTGGCTACTCCCTCTCTTCATACATGTTGCTGCTCAAATAATACCCACTTGAGAGGTATTCTCCGTCCACAAAACTAAAAATAACCCCTTATCCTTTCATCACTCTTCAACTCCTTCTCCAGCTTTGTTTTCTTGGCAGGATTATCATATTTGAACTTTTATTACATATTCACTGATTTGACTGTCTGACTCTCTACTCATCTGTCAATTCTGTGAAAGCAAAGACCAGCCATATAGTGGGTACTCAAAAGAATGTGACAGATAAGTCTCAGAAATGACCCAACTAGATCTTTTGCCAACAGAAGATACCCAATAGGCACCTGTGGAGTGAGAACACCTTCAATGGTAACCTGAGCCACATGGCCCATTTTAAAAGCCTAACTCTACCAGCAGTGAGATAATACTCTAGTTCTCTCATTTGCAATAAGAGTACAGCAGCACAAAGTCAGTATACAGAAAGTAACTGGAGGAGTGTGTGTGAGCAATGAGAACATGGGAAGATGCCATGTTCTGTTCAGTTTAAAAAATAAAAATAAAAACAAAGTTTGTTTTGTC